TCTTTAAAGAATATTTATTAGAGGCCTCAGCAAGGCGTGGATTCTTTAAAGAATATTTATTAGAGGCCTCAGCAAGGCGTGGATTCTTTAAAGAATATTTATTAGAGGCCTCAGCAAGGCGTGGATTCTTTAAAGAATATTTATTAGAGGCCTCAGCAAGGCGTGGATTCTTTAAAGAATATTTATTAGAGGCCTCAGCAAGGCGTGGATTCTTTAAAGAATATTTATTAGAGGCCTCAGCAAGGCGTGGATTCTTTAAAGAATATTTATTAGAGGCCTCAGCAAGGCGTGGATTCTTTAAAGAATATTTATTAGAGGCCTCAGCAAGGCGTGGATTCTTTAAAGAATATTTATTAGAGGCCTCAGCAAGGCGTGGATTCTTTAAAGAATATTTATTAGAGGCCTCAGCAAGGCGTGGATTCTTTAAAGAATATTTATTAGAGGCCTCAGCAAGGCGTGGATTCTTTAAAGAATATTTATTAGAGGCCTCAGCAAGGCGTGGATTCTTTAAAGAATATTTATTAGAGGCCTCAGCAAGGCGTGGATTCTTTAAAGAATATTTATTAGAGGCCTCAGCAAGGCGTGGATTCTTTAAAGAATATTTATTAGAGGCCTCAGCAAGGCGTGGATTCTTTAAAGAATATTTATTAGAGGCCTCAGCAAGGCGTGGATTCTTTAAAGAATATTTATTAGAGGCCTCAGCAAGGCGTGGATTCTTTAAAGAATATTTATTAGAGGCCTCAGCAAGGCGTGGATTCTTTAAAGAATATTTATTAGAGGCCTCAGCAAGGCGTGGATTCTTTAAAGAATATTTATTAGAGGCCTCAGCAAGGCGTGGATTCTTTAAAGAATATTTATTAGAGGCCTCAGCAAGGCGTGGATTCTTTAAAGAATATTTATTAGAGGCCTCAGCAAGGCGTGGATTCTTTAAAGAATATTTATTGGAGGCCTCAGCAAGGCGAGCATTCTTTTAAGAATATTTATTAGAGGCCTCAGCAAGGCGTGGATTCTTTAAAGAATATTTATTAGAGGCCTCAGCAAGGCGTGGATTCTTTAAAGAATATTTATTAGAGGCCTCAGCAAGGCGTGGATTCTTTAAAGAATATTTATTGGAGGCCTCAGCAAGGCGTGCATTCTTTAACGAATATTTATTGGAGGCCTCAGCAAGGCGTGCATTCTTTAACGAATATTTATTGGAGGCCTCAGCAAGGCGTGCATTCTTTAAAGAATATTTATTGGAGGCCTCAGCAAGGCGTGGATTCTTTAAAGAATATTTATTGGAGGCCTCAGCAAGGCGTGGATTCTTTAAAGAATATTTATTGGAGACCTCAGCAAGGCGTGGATTTTTTAAGAATATATTTTTCTTTAGAAAGAAATCAATCCTTTTCGCCATTTGCATGCTCATAATTAATTTATCAAACCTCTCGAATTATTATTATCGTATAATATAGGTCATAAATTCCGCTTCGTAATAAAACTGTCACATATGAGTAGTATATTACAAAAAAGAACACACTTCAACTTGACATACCACCACTTTATTGCTGAATTCCATAGAAAGTTCATTGGAATGTAAAAATATCTGGTGGGGAAATAATTTTCTTAGGATAGGTTTTTTTTTCGTTGTGCATTGAAATACCAATGGTAATATTTTTTGTTTGTTTAGTTCATATTTTCGTTTTGTTTTACCTTTATTTAGAATCGTTGTTTAGCAACCTGTTTTTGGCCAATTTCTAGAATAGTTTTTTTGTGGCAGGATAATTTTTTTATTGTTTTGTTTGTTTGTATCGTGCTTTGGTAAACTACCTCAAGTAGTTCTCTATTGTCTGCAAAGGCGTAATTTATTTGAAAATTACTTAATTACACTTTTATTGCAGGTTTTTAATTTTTATTTGTTCCTGAAGAATATTTTTTAAAACCCGTGCTAATTTTTCTAAAAAATATTTTTTTTAAAAATCGTCTCTTATTTGTGTCCCTGAAAAAATATTCTTTAATCATATTCCACACCTTGCTTCCTCTAATTCCGGGATATATTTATTAGAAAATATTTCACTCACAACTAATTTATACTCTTACTTTTATTCTCCTGTTACTCCTCTTGGATGCATTGAGCTTCCTTAATGCATGGTCATATTGCTCGATTAGTCCTTGAGGCAGTTTCGTTAATCTTTGTTAATTAAAGATGATTGGTCTGTTATAGCCAGTCCGAGGTGATGGCACTGCCATCTATTGCACCCCTGCTTACTTAGTGTTGCCACTTTCCTCTGAACGGCGCTACCTGTCTTGGGAGCTTAGAACAAAACTTTGCCATCTTACTCGATTAGGGCTTCGGTTACAGTTGCCATTGGTTTTTAGGTCATCTACCGATACCTAGAAACAACTCCTCCTTAAATTGTATTCAGTTTGGGGTACTTGCTTATACAGTGTTGCCATGTTCCTCTGGATGGCGCTCCTGACATTTCATTATGCATTTGGTTTTTAGAATGCCAGGAAGCTCCGGATGAATTTTATTTGGAGGAGGAAGTAAACTAGGTTGAAAAGGTTGTCCTAGGTTGTCCACATATTAGTCTGTAAATGACCTATTGTGCGCTCTAGAGAGGGAGGAATATTAGAAGAAGTCATCTTCGTATTTGATTGTCACACAATTCTACGGATTCTAAAATAACCCCTTAGGTAGGTTATTTCACGAAAGGTGTACTTTCCTAAGAATTGGGGTAGGAAGCTTGAAAAGGCTGGACAATGACATAGGATATGTTCTAACCTTTTGCATCCAATCTTGTGAAAGTGGGCCTGTACACTCTTACGTCCTGTGAGAATACAGATCAGTCTGGTGATTTTTGTTTGGCATTTTGATTTTCTTTGTCCTATCCTCATTTGGATCTCCCCATAAATGTTGCTGTGTTTTCCCAGTCCCCTCGCGATTCTAAAGAATTTTGTGGGGTTTCGTTGCCAATGACCTCAATTGCAAACGCCTGGCACTGTTACATCTATTGTAGGTCGGTCGGTTTCACTTCTAGCGAGTATATTTCCTATATCTTTTCCTATTGACTTGGTACCCATATAATTCGTATGAGTCCATGTGGCGAGAAATTATTTATGGGTTTTGAATTTATCTGTTTTAGAGGTTATTCCTTTTATGGTTTGTTTGCTATTACCATTCCCGAATTTGTAGACTTGTGGAATGATGGATGTTGGGTGGGGAAAGAAGACGGTGTGAAAATTAGCATCAAGAGGTGTTGGTTTTTTGCATCTGATTTTTATCCTCTTTTAACAGTTATTCCATTGTGGAGAGCCTGCAGCAATTAGTTCAAATGGTAGTAGTTTCAGCTACGGATACGTGCAGAGGTTAGTCTGTGGGGGACCATCCCCGGACTACCAGGCTTTTGGAGCAATTGTTGGGAGGGGTGCATGGTAGCTACCAATGTCGTAAGATGTTGGTGGTCACTTTCGATTTTTATCCCCATTCTGCGATTGTCTCATTTTAGAGAGCCTGCAAATATTAGTCGTATTAGTATCATCCAAGAAGGCGATTACGTCCAAGTGCGTGTGATCGATTGGTAACTGAATTTTGGTGTGTGGGCGTTGGTTCAACCTTTGTATTAACTGGTGGTAATTATATTTATTATATCCAGACCTGAGTTTGCACTAAACCAGTTCCGACACTCCGTTATAACTTGAAACTCCAAAGTAAGCCTCTTATTATAAATACTCGATAACACGTGCAGCCCCGTCCGTTCACGAATCAGAACATCGCTTCTCACTCTGCTGCTGAGACATATTGTGTTATTTTTGGCGAGTAGATGTGTGTTGCCTAGCCTTGTCCTGGTGGAACACGACACCTGTGCTGTGGGCCAATACTGGCCGTTTCTGGTCAATTGACAGTAGAGTTGTTGACAGTAGAGATCCAAATTTAGCGTTTGGTCATATAGAAGCAACTCATAATAAATAATCCCCTTCCAGACCCAACAAATGCATAGCAGAACCTTCCATGGCCGTTAGTCCTGGTTTGGCCAACGTTTGAGGTGCTTCACCGCTCTTTGACACGATCATTTTCGCACAGGGTTATCGTATGTGATCCATTTCTCATCTCCAGTCACCATCCTTTTCAGAAATGGGTCTATTTAATTCCGTTTGGCAAAGGCTTCGCTGATGAAAATTCGATGCATCCTATTTTTTTCTGTTAATTGGTGTGGTACTTAAACATCGAGCTTCTTTTTGAATTCAGCTTTGTGTAAATGATTTAAAACTGTTTTATGGTCGATTTTTAGCTCCTGCACGATGTTACGACTGCTAACATGCCGGTCATCTTCGATCATTTCTCCGATTTTATAGACATTTTCGACGATCGGCCTGACTAATATTTCCCACTTTAGAAGACAATTTTGAACCTAGCTGACGGAAATTATTCGGCGTTAATCAAAATTCATTTTCATTTTTTTAAAAATATATTTTTTAAGCTACAGGTTCGAACCTTCTGGGAACAATTCGAACCCACTTTATATAACAATTTTCGGCCTAGCTGTCAGAAGTTCGTCGACCATGTTAAATCAATTTTTAAGCCTTTTTGTAGCGGCTTAGATTCTTTTCTATAGATCGGTTTCGTCTCGAAGAACCGCTTTCTTTATCATATTTTTCAAATACAAGCACAATGTCTTTTCAGTGATCGTTAAGGTTACTTCAGTTTTATGTTTAAGGTTACTTCTTCATCGGTGGTTATAACATCATCGGATTTAACCTCAAACTCCAAATCATCGGATAATTAGTAACTAGAAAACAAGGAGAAAAGACAATTATTACTATTGTAATGAATTATTATGACCCCAAAAAGGTTCGGCTTAAAAAATATTACGTCTGCATTATCGGTCATTGATTCGGCTCGAAGGACCAATTTCCGCATGTTTGCAACAGTACACGAAAATTATTCCTTCTGGAAACAATTTCATATTTGGCTTACGAACTACGTATAATATAATTTAACCTTATTTTCACTTCCGTTTTTTTGTTCCTTTTTAGTTCCTGAAGAGCATCCTCCAAGTGCTGCACTTCTGTAGGATATACAAGCTATGGTAGCCGGTTTCGAACAACGACCCTGGACACCTACCGTACGCCGTGGACAAATTGCTGCTGAAACCTCAACCCCTGGACCAGCAGCGGTTGCATTACCCAATTTAATTGGTAAGAAAATAAAACCAAAAAACCTATTACATTACGAACCCGTCGATTCAGAATGGAAATTTACTATTTATTTGTAATTTCTTTCTTCCAGGTACCAAAGTACTGGACTCGCGTAAACAAGCCGCTCCAGCATTTACCTTTGGTCAAAAACATCGACAAACCGTACAATCGTTGGGCGAAGGACCAGCCAAATATAACGTAACCGGTTTGGGTAGTAAAGGTAAAGACACCCCTCCTGCTGCTACGCTACAAAGTCGCCACAAAGAGATGTCGAAATTTTGTACACCAGCCCCAGGGGAATACGATGTCGACAAGGCCATAAAGGCTGTGAAACAGTCAACGGCCAAGTACACGTTTGGTCAGAAATTGGCTGTGGAGAAAACGAATTCGACACCAGGTAAGTTGGCAGAGGCATGGCAATGGAAGTGGGTCCAAAATAATTTTGGGAGAGGGATTTTTGGCATTGACACTGTTATGGAATGAATGGATGTTGAGTTCGTTGGGTGTTGGTTGGTGGTAGCTGATTGTTATGCGAAGCTTTTTTCACATACATTCCGAACATTTGTAAATTATTAATTCATAACCCATCAAAAAATGAGCCACGGAAAGTCGCTGTTGGTTTCCTTTTGCAAAATATTTTATCGTGATCCTGGCAGCTAAAGCTTGACAGCAAATGGAGTGACAAAATCACAACTGCAACCCAGTTGTGATTTTGTCACTCCATTTGACCTCGGGAAAATATAATCCTTAAAAAGACTTTGAAAAAACATCCAATAAATATTGTACAGTGTTTATGAAAGTCTTCGGTCACTAATGGGTTAATTACATATCATTTATATATACCCATTTCATAATATATTCTTCCCCATATCAAATATTTTCTTTTTGAAGAGGTAAATTTGAGTCCATTCTCTTTGGTAAATATTCTTTGTTCGTAGATAGTTATCATTTTTGTTTGTTTGTAGAATTCGTAGGCCTGTGTAAAATATTGTAGTAATTTTTATTCTTACCACCCCTCCAAGGCACACGGTGGCACCACCTGTATTTTTTCAATTTTGTTCAATATAAATATCAAATATTAATAATTGAATTTATTTTATTTTTTTATTTCTCAATTCTCCCCACCCTGACCAAAACAAACCTCCGTCGCTTTACCTACACAACACACACAATCACGGCTATTGTTGATCGCGATCGAATCCAAAAAACGAACAAAATTCGTTTAGGTCCAAATCATTATCGAGTTGTACCGCTCGATGTTATCAAACCCCGTGCCCCTCAATATACATTTCGCATAAAATTGAAAGTAATTTTAATAAATACACCAGGTAACAAAATGAAAATTCCGATTTTTTCTAATTTTTGTGTGTTCTTCAATATTTCTTGTTATTGTTGTTATATGTCTTTTTGTAGTAATTTTATTGTGGTATAGATCCCAGTATTTAAACCATAAAAATATATATCCTTATCTGTGTCTATTTTGTATATAAAATCAAAAAATATTATTCTGTGTGTTGCACTGGGAAATAGTTGTCTGCAAATCCATAGATATTTAGGAATAGGTGAAGGTGGTATTTTTTATTTTTTCCAGGGTGTACATAAATATTTCCATATAAATATATGTTTTTAAAAAATATTATTAAACAAATAAAAACTGCATTATATTCGACCGGGTCGATCATTTTATACCCTTCACTGCATGAGGTGGACATTCAAAACGTCGAAATTGGATCGGGATTTTGTATGGGGGGCTATGAAGTGGTAAATTGCTGTCAGGAGAAAATGAAATACCAATAAAAAAATAGGCAATCAGATTGGAAAATTGGCGAAGGCCTTTATTTTTAAACTTTTGTAAAAGAGAGTTTCATCACACTCCAAATGTAATGAAACCGAAGCCCCCTGACATTCTAATAAGTCCTGGCATAAACATGAAAACATAATTATTGTACGCCACCCGGCGGAGAATTGCAACACTAAATAAGCAAGGACAGCTAACCACTGCAAATATTCAAAGAGTCGTTAGGCCTTGGCAACGATAGATGGCAGCACCATCATCTAGGGCAGGCTACAGTAGACCAATCATCTACAATAGCAATGACTTTTAACATACGAAATATGGCGCACATTGCGCAATAAAATGTACGAACTCTTCTTGAATCATACATGAGGTTTGCACAAATAATAATGGCAGGATACAACGCCACCCAGAGGTAATTGTCAACACTAATTATATAAGCAATAACCCTAACCATTGAACAAGATTTAGTTGGACCTAGATTTAGTGAGGCGATATATGACAGCTCTATCATCTAGGCCACAGTAGATCAAAAATTTACTTTTTTGGAATAAAAAATGATTAACGTACCTGAAACAAAGCCAATTTAACAATAACAAATTTTTATGGGAATTACCTTTGACACATGAAATTGGACCAGAATTGTATGAAATGTACAAACTGTTCGCAAAACAAACATGAGGATTGCAAAAATAAGAATGGAGGGAAATTGTAACACTTAATAAATAGATAACGATCGAAACCACTGCAAAGATTAATAGTCGTTGAGCCTTGACAACAATAGATGGCAGTCGCATCACCGAGGACAGACTACAGTAGACCAATCAAATGACCTTTGGTACACGAAATTTCCCAATGGAATGTATAAACTCTTCGTGAATCAAACATGAGAATTTTGTGTAATGTCAGGATATAACATCATCCAGAGGAAAATGGCAACACTAAATAAATAAGCAGACTTCAACCATTACACACGATTTAAGTAGTCATTGAAACTAGACAACGATAGATGGCATCCCCATCATCGAGAACAGGCTACAGTAGACCAATGATCTATTATTACATGGAATATAATGAAGGGGATTACGATCCGAAACGACACTCGGCCAACGTCTGTCACATCAGCACATTCTATGAAAGCAGCAGGGCTGCTACAACAAGAACATCAGGATCTTATGGCAATGACATTTGGCCGTGAAATGGTATGTACGAACTCTTCGTGAATCATGGAGGATTGTACAGCTAGAATAACAAATGGCATCGTATAATATCGAACTATTAAGTATAAGCACAGAAAATTAAAACTATGTACTATATAGTGGAAAAGAAAATGACGATGAATGCGGAGTAGGGATAATAATGTCGAAAAACGCCAAAAAGTCGTTGAAGACATGAAAAACAGTTCCATAACATGGCAATAAACACTAATTAACAATAGTCTCGTGAAACATCGAGGCTTGCACAGCAAAAACAGCATGTGACATCGTATAAGATCAAATTCTTAGGTATCAAATCAAATTCACAGAATACGGCAACTATAACTTTGAAGAAAATGGAGGTGAAAGCGGAGTTGGGATCATACAGGCATGTCACAGAAAGAAATATACTAGACCACCACAAAGGAAAGGTCATTGAAAATAACGAAATTTACAATGAAAATATTATCGTGTAACTCTCAAAGTTTGAATGAAATAAAAGATGTAATAGAACAGCTAAAAATCAACAAAGATGCAGGAGGAGATTACAGCTGAGTTACAGCGACCTTACAACTTGGAAGCAAGAAAGGCTGCCTCCAATATGGAAGAAGCTATAAAAAAAAGAAAGCCGATAAAGTTTGCAAGAACTCTAGAGGAATAGACATGATCAACACCATATTTAAAATTCTAGTGGCTATAATACAGCAAATAATTCAAATGCAAGTAGAAAACATTCTGAGAGATAACCAATCTGACGTCAGACTAAATAGAGGCTATGTGGACCATACATTACGAGTCATACTAGAACAATCTATAGAATAGCACACTTCACCATATATATTATTCATCGAATTCAATAAAGCTTTCGGAATGCATTGAGCAAAAAGGGAGTATCCCAGAAAATAATCTAAACGAGTGCAGAACTGTCAGGCCAACCGTTTCGCACCAACGCGGAAGTAAAACAAATATGCTATCTGTCACCCTACTGTTCACTATAGGACCGGATGAAAAAAATAAAGAAGTCTACTCTCAAAGAAGAGGCATAACGTGGAGAATATCACAAGATAAGACAGATATTATTCTGAACCTGTAGAGACTGGCTCGTTGAGATTATTAGCAAGAAAACTAAGAAATGAAAATTAAATATATATGAAAATTAAAAATACCAGTACAGAAAACTTCAAGCGAAGGAATTGAATACGTCGTTGACATCTGCTATATAGGAAACACTATATATCAATCAATATACGTAATCAATAGACTAAACAGACCGGCAGCATTATTCGGACGACTTACAGGTTCATGGAGAAGCTCACAATTTCCAGGAAAATCCAGCTTCAAATAGTGAAACCTGGCTTGGCCGTCACGCAAAATATACAGGCACAGAAAAATGCCTCAGTATCATATGCAGAATATTATGACCCAACTCTATAAGTAACATAAAGCTGTGGCAAACCGATTTCATTGATTCTTCTTCCTGAGGATATGACTTTTTAGCCATTATTTCTCTGGGAACAATTCCAATTATAATTCTAGCCTGAAAATATTTCAGCATAGCTAGGAGATTTCTTCAACGTAAGGGCAAATTTCTCAGAATTTGTGTGGAGATTTATTTGCTACACTAATGGTTATTTATTCAGTTCGAAGGACCAATGTCAATAGGGCCATACGAGTACACGATTAATATGGATCGTGGATTATTCTTGCTGGAAAAAATTCCACCTATAATTTTAGCTCGTAATTTTTCAACTTTAGAAGACAATTTTCAACCTAGCTCACGAAAGTTCGTCTTCAGTATTAATTTGGAAACTTATTCTACTAAAGATCACAGATTTGGCACGATTATTATTCTTGAATTATCCTTTCCAACACAAATAATTATGTCATCAAGGTTAGGACAATTTCTTATTCATTTATTTGGAGACTTATTTTCTCAGATTCGGCTCGAAGATCCAATATCAAAGGCTTAACACAACTTAAAAATCATTCTTAAAAATCTCATTTTTTTTAAATAACTTGGTGGTAGAAAAATCTGTTTTGAAAAGGACTGTTTCTAGAATGAGGACAAATGTCGAACCCTGATAAATTTAAATTTAATTCAAAGATGGAATTTCTCATCAATGGCGACATAAATACAAGTTATCAACATACGACCTTTGAAAAGCCACATAGCCCAATATGCCTGATGACCCGACAAAACCAACGACAAAACGCGTCGCATAGTGGTGGGTGCGTAGGTTCTTCTCATGCATTTCCTTTTCATTGCAAAACATAGATCATTAAGCTTGACGCGAAAGAGTATAAAAAATTCACATAAAAACCTCAAAAATATGTTTAAAAAAAAATAAAGATAATAGGTGGCTTAAGATAAATATGTTTTAAAAAATCCAGATCTTAATATAAGGAAATTAGGAAACAATATATTTTTTAAAATCCACATAGGTATCTGAAATTCTTCTTTAAAAAATCCCCGCAAATGACTGCCTCAGAAATTATACTTCAAAAAAAAAAAAAAAAACACACACACACACTTATAACTGCCTCACATAACTCTTCTTAAAAAAACCCACACTGCCTCAGAATTTTTTTCTCTAAATAAATACACGACTATAGGTGTCCGAAAAAAATATTTTAGGTCTATAGGTCTCTACACACCTTTTTAAATAGCACAGGCTGTTAGTTGCATAAAAAAAATCTTTACAAAATCTACCCCTATAGGTGCCTGAAAAAATATTCTTTAAAAAACCTACGCCTATAGGTTTATGAAAAAATATTCTTTACAAAATCTACGCCTATAGGTGCCTGAAAAAATATTCTTTAAAAAATCCACGCCTATATGTGTCTGAAAAAAAAAACACGTCTTCTTACAAAAAATCCAAACCTTATTTGGTATAAAAAATATTGCCTACTTTTAGGCGCTTTAATTTTTAATCATCCATTTGTGTTCACATTAAAAAAACTTGTTTTTAAATTAAAATATCATGCGTACATACAAATATTCCCATACAATATTCATATATAGCTCTCTAAATCACCATAATATCCAGTCATGTACATAAACATTTATCACCATCCACTGTGCTTTTATGAAAAGGGAGCACCTTGCACAATGTGCTTACAAATGGTGTAGGCAATTATTGCTTTTAGGCTTAGTTGGAATAATTTGCACCTATTTCTATATTAGATTGTTTTTGTAAGCATTAATTTAATTTTGTATTTCGTGTTAATTTTTGTTTTTATTTTTTTAAACAAAATAATTTCTTCTTCTTCCAAAAAAAAACAAAAATATTTTTTTTTCAAAAAAATTTAAAAAAATGTGCCTACTTTTCCAACTAACCAAAACCACCACCAAAAAAAAACATGACAAAAATTCACAGCGCCAAATAGATATCGACCCGAGAGGGTGTCGATAGTGAAAAAGAACTCACCACGCTACTCATTTGGTAGACGTACTAAAATTTACTTCGATAAGGGAACACCAGGTAAAGTTAAAAAAAAATAATAGAAAATAATATTTTTTTTAATTAATTTTGTGTAATTTTTTTGTTGAGTTTTCTTGTTATTAAAAAGCTTTTGTAGTTTTGTGTTAAAGCTTTTGTAGAAATCTTCAAAAAAGCTTCTTTAAATTAAATTGAAATTTTATTTGCTTTTTTCCTTAATTTAGCTCCGGGCTCCTATAGCCCTGAAAAGGCCAATTTACACTCTACACCAGCCTACACAATTACCGGCAAGGGGTCGCACGATGTGGTTGATTGTACACCGGGTAAGTAGAGCTAAACCACCCTGAAGCCAGAATAAAAAATATAAAATAAAAAAAAATGATTTGAGGGAAGGGAGGATGGAGGACACTCCCAATCCTCTCCCTACCCTCAATCACAGAAAATTCTTCCAAGAATTATTTTTTTTAATCCGCACTTATTTTTGGTTATTGAAAATTAGATTCTCTGGTCTTGCACCCCATAAATCATACTCCTATTCGGATCTCATAAAATGTCCAACACCTTTTTCCATTCATTTTAACCCCCAATCCACCTCCACGATTTTCCAGCCCCTGGTGCTTATGAACCGGAAAAATGTAAATTGGATAAGACACCAGCCTTCACGATCTCCGGACGGCATAGCATGAGAAAAACCAACGATACCCCCGCCCCAGGAGCCTATGCCCCAGAAAAGGTTCGCTTGGATCATACCCCGGCTTATACCTTTGCAGGAAAACATGAAGCAAAAATTGTTAGCGATACCCCTGCCCCAGGAGCATATTGTCCAGAGAAGGTAAGGCTGGATCACACCCCTGCCTATAGCATAAAGGGACGCCATGAGACGCACAAGCCCAGCGATACCCCAGCCCCTGGCGACTATGCACCCGAGAAGGTGCGTCTGGACCACACCCCTGCCTATACGATAAGTGGCCGCAAGGAGGCTAAAATTGTCAGCGATACCCCTGCACCAGGAGCTTATTGTCCGGAGAAGGTGAGACTGGATCACACCCCCGCCTATACGATTAAAGGGCGGCATGACCTCAGTAAGCCCAGTGATACACCAGCCCCTGGCGACTATGCACCCGAGAAGGTGCGCTTGGACCACACCCCTGCCTATACGATAAGTGGCCGCAAAGAGGCGAAAATTGTCAGCGACACCCCTGCCCCTGGAGCCTATTGTCCGGAGAAGGTGAGACTGGACCACACCCCAGCATATACAATTAAAGGACGTCATGATTTGAGTAAGCCCAGTGATACCCCTGCCCCAGGAGCCTATGCTCCCGAAAAGGTACGTCTGGACCATACCCCTGCCTATACCATGGCTGGTAAGCATGATCCTAAGGTCAGCAATGATACCCCGGCGCCTGGTGCTTATGCTCCGGAAAAATGTCGTTTAGATAAGACACCAGCCTATTCGATAGCCGGACGCCATGATTTACAAAAGCCCAGTGATACCCCGGCGCCTGGAGCTTATGCTCCGGAAAAGTCGAAGCTTGACCATACACCAGCCTACACCATGGCAGGTCGGCATGATTTACAAAAGCCCAGTGATACACCGGCGCCTGGAGATTATGCTCCGGAGAAACATAAATTGGATGGTACACCAGCCTACACCATGGCGGGACGTCATAATGTACAGAAGCCAAGTGATACTCCTGCCCCCGGGGCTTACGCTCCGGAAAAATCGAAGCTCGATAATACACCAGCCTACACCATGGCGGGACGTCATAATCTGCAGAAGCCCAGTGATACTCCAGCACCCGGGGCTTATGCTCCGGAAAAATCGAAGCTCGATAATACACCAGCCTACACCATGGCAGGACGTCATAATCTGCAAAAGCCCAGTGATACTCCAGCACCTGGGGATTATGCCCCCGAGAAGCATAATTTGGATGGTACCCCCGCATACACCATGGGCGGTCGCCACAATCTGCAAAAGCCCAGTGACACCCCTGCGCCAGGAGCTTATGCACCAGAAAAATCTAAGCTCGACAATACTCCTGCCTACACCATGGCAGGACGTCACAATCTGCAGAAACCCAGTGACACTCCAGCACCTGGAGCTTATGCCCCCGAGAAGCATAACTTGGATGGCACCCCCGCATACACCATGGGAGGACGTCATAATCTGCAGAAGCCAAGTGATACTCCAGCCCCCGGGGCATATGCACCGGAAAAATCGAAGCTCGACAATACCCCAGCCTACACAATGGCAGGACGTCATAATCTTCAAAAACCCTCAGACACTCCCGCTCCCGGTGACTATGCCCCCGAAAAACACAGGCTAGATGGAACCCCAGCCTACACCATTGCTGGAAGACACAACCTACAAAAACCTTCCGACACCCCAGCTCCTGGTGACTATGCTCCCGAAAAACATCGACTAGATGGAACCCCAGCCTACACCATTGCCGGAAGACACAACCTCCAAAAACCCTCCGACACCCCTGCTCCCGGTGACTATGCTCCCGAAAAGCACAGGCTAGATGGAACCCCAGCCTACACGATTGCCGGAAGACACAACCTCCAAAAACCCTCCGACACCCCAGCTCCCGGTGACTATGCTCCCGAAAAACATCGTTTAGATCACACCCCTGCCTACACCATGGCCGGTAAGCATGATCCAAAAATTACCAATCACACACCCGCTCCCGGTGATTATGCACCCGAAAAGGTACGCTTAGATCACACTCCCGCCTACACTATGGCCGGTAAACACCAACCGAAAATTCAAAACGACACTCCAGCCCCTGGTGCCTATAGCCCCGAGAAAGTACGTCTCGATCATACACCCGCCTATACAATTGCCGGACGCCATGATACGCACAAACCTAGCGATACACCTGCTCCCGGTGATTATGCACCGGAAAAATCACGCTTAGATCATACACCCGCATTCACAATTGTCGGACGCAAGGAGAATAAAATAACAAGTGACTCCCCGGCTCCGGGTGCCTATTCTCCCGAAAAGGTACGTTTAGATCATACCCCTGCCTACACGATTACCGGACGCCATGAGCAACAAAAACCCCAAGATACACCAGCTCCAGGTGATTATGCACCGGAGAAGGTACGTCTTGATCACATCCCAGCCTTTACAATTGTTGGCCGCAAAGAGGTGAAAATTGTTAGCGATACTCCGGCACCAGGAAGTTATTGTCCCGAAAAGGTTCGTCTTGATCATACACCAGCCTATACCATTACCGGTCGTAATGTTAGCCAACATTTGGAGACCACTCCCGCACCAGGAGATTATAAGCCAGAAATGTATGACCCCAAGGGTCACACCCCAGCCTTTACGTTCGGCATGAAATTGAAACAGGAACGAGTCAGTGATACTCCAGGTAAGTGGGCATACACTTCGAAGTCCTTTTGAGCATGTTTGCCTGTTTTGTGAATATAAAATTTAAAAATTATTATTTATTCAGCACCCACTGCCTATGAACCCGAAAAACACACCCTAGATCACACACCAGCCTACACTTTTGGTAGTAAAACCGTAACTAAAACGGTTGTTGATGCACCAGGTATGAAACTGCAAGAATCAAAGAAAAATATTAGAATCGAAACATTTTATAAAAATCTGAAAAGAATCCGAACTGAGGATCGGCGAATTTTTTTCTATAGAAAAAAAAATATGTGAATATGGCGAATTTTTTTCTATAGAAAAAAAAATATGTGAATATGGCGAATTTTTTTCTATAGAAAAAAATATCCGAGCTGAGGTTCGGCAAATGATTTTTATAGAAAAAAATATCTGAACTGATGTTCCGCGAATTTTTTTTCTATAGAAAATAATTTGAACTGGTTCTCGGCGACTTTTTTCTATAGAAAAATATTGGAATTCGGCCAATAAAGTCCGAATTGAGGTTTACGCTCCTATCCCCTGTTAACTGCATGTCCAACCTTCCTTGTGTCTTCTTTTGCATTTATCTCTTAATTCTCTATTTTTATTAACTTTCCTTTCTACTCTTTTTACATACAAAAACAAAAAAACAAACAGCTCCCGGTCATTATCATCCAGAAAACTATAACCCCGAACACTCTCCTGCATACACCTTTGGTCACAAAACATCAATAATGCCAGGTAAGAAGCAGAACCCAAACAGAGACTTTACAAAAGTGCCACACTCAATAATCATTTACATTCGCATGCTATGCATTTCAATCGATTCATCGATTTTTCTATCCTCTTTTCGAAGGCTTATTTTTTAATATTATTTTGTAAATATTTAATTTTTATTATTTTCCTAATTTATATTTTTTCTTTTCATTTCATTTTTTTATTTACATTAAAAAATCTGTGTGTATATATACATATGTGTGTATGTGATTTTTCGTTATATGTATATGTTTATATCAAATATATAAACGTGTTTTTCGCGTACAGTTATGCCACGAGGTCCTTATGTTGAAGATCGCATTATGCAGAGACGTGAAAGACGTATGAAAAGTCCTGGTAAGAGTTAGTCAGTTAGGAAATCTACATATATAGTCACAAAACTTTGGCAGAAATATTTGAATTTGGCTCGATTCCAAAAATAAAATTCCACTAACAATTGCTTAAGAAATTTGTCTAAATAACTTAGCTTTAATTTCTAATCACATGTGGAAGATGGTTGCTAAATATATTTATAGAAAATATTTTAAAATTGTTTGAATTTGATATTTATATTAATAATTAGAATAATCTTCATATTGCTAACAAGTACTTCCCTAAAGTTTCAAGTTTCGGATGGCAGCATAATTCTTAATCGATATTATGAATTACACAAAAATAGGGCAACCAAATTAGTACCTTATACCCATCACCTCAATATTATTCCTATACGATTATTTTCTTTCTCTGGAATTATATCTTAGATCATAGCAACAGGGATATAGCCTTACAGGCGAAAACTCAAAAAAGGAAGAACTCCTTACAGTTATATATCTAAAAAATTGAGGTATTCTTAATGGTCCACCATTTACAGAAGACATCTACATTCATTTATCTTCACGGTCTGGTAACTATAGAATAACTATTCCGAAAGATTGGATGTGCAAAGCTTAAGGGATCTTCTTAAAAAGGTCTACAAATGGAAGACCCAAGTGTCTATAGAGGTCCTCATAAGGAGTACTTTTATGAACGGAGAAGCCCTTCTAAAGACTTATATACAAAATTCGCAATTAAAAACGTTGTGAAGTTCGAACGAACAAAACTTTTTGTATTCTCCACCGTAAACATTACAAATAACACAACTCGAACGATATTTAATGTCAAGATAAATTGCTGCCACGATAAAACGAAATACAAAACTACAGGCACTAATATTGGAAAATTTGGCTGGGACCTTCAACATATCAAAAATGAAGCTCGATCGTTCAGACAAGGTCAAACAACAAATTACACCCACTTCGTAATGGTAAAATATAAAATGGTTAAAATCGAGCATTATACATAATTTGTCGTAGGAAGATTTGTAGGTCACAATGGGAACTCAAAATATCAAATTTGCGAACACGAAAACATGTTCAAAATCTTTTACATAACGTAAATTAGAAGGCACAATTTATATGAGGTCTATAATGGACGGATTTTTATAATAGAAAATGTGTCAAAGAATGAAAATCAGAACAAGTAAAACCGATATTAAGTTCGACACGGCCGAACTTTTCACCATGAGGATGACATTCAAAATATCTAAAATTAATAGGGGCTCTTAGGAGAAAACTCATATTATGATAGGACCTTGAACGTAGCGAAAATTACGTGGATCAAGTAAACAAGTGTCACTCGGTGTTGTCGACAGATATATACCCTCGCCCTATAGTTTGCAAAGGATGTTGACCATTTGTGTGGGAGATACCAGAAAGAGTGGACCAATGGGTCCCATCTTCGGACTTGATCTAGACATGGTAAAGATACCAGGTTGTGAAAAGTTTGCTTCAAATCGGACATTCCATTAGCCTGATATTGGATTTATAAATATTGAACATTTTGACCCTCTGTGGGGGAGGTACCAGAAGGAGTGGACCAATGGGTCTCATCTTTCCACTTGATGTAGGCTTGGTAATGATAATAGTTTGTACAAAGTTTCTTTAAAGTCATATAGTCCGTTTGCATGTTATTATAAAATTAATTTTTAGCACAATTTTGACCATTTTGTGGGCTAAGTACCAGAAGGAGTGGACCGATATTCCTCATCTTCGAACTTAAACTAAGTTATTAAGATGTGCAAAGTTTGGAGTTATCGTGAGCAGACAGACGGACATGTGTAAATCGACTACAAATTTTTTGAAACGGATTTGGTCCAAAGAAACACATTTTCACCGTACCGAAGTGTATATACCCTCATTAACCATAAGGCTGAGGGTATAAAAAATGATTATTTAAATTCTCAATATACCTAACAGTGGGTGCTAGCCCCCTATAGCCCCCACTCTCAATCTTGGGACAATATTAATAATTTTTTGTACAAGGATGTGCTATTAAATTTTAATAAGGTGGAATCTTTGTAATTAACTTTAAATTGGCCACATGAATTGAAAACTGGCTTAAATTGCAAAGGAATCGAATAAATAAATGTTAATCCATATGGGGCCTACACCAAAATTTGGACCATTTACAATATCAAACATCCTAGGAGTACTAGCAATGTCTGTGCAATATTTCAGAGCTCTATCTTAGATATTGCGATCTCTATGAAAAATGACAAATTTAATATACACTTCAACTTCTGGTAGAGGGTTTGAACATATAAATTCCAAAAAATTCTGAATAAGTAATTGATATTGAGACTTTATAACTACTTAGAACCCCAAAATATCAAATTTGGTAGAAACGCTTGGCCAAAAATTAATAAAATTGCGAAAATTTGACGGCACCGTTATGTGGGACTATAATATAGAATATTTCGATGTGTTGAAAACGGAAAGATAAATGTAATATACACTCCCCTTTGTTGTGGAAGGTCTATGCGAACATCTATTAGTATTTCTAAAGGTTAAATAATATTGATAAAGGGTATATACCTAAGAATTCCATATTGTGATCCTATAAGAATTCATATTAATGTTCTAAAGCAAAACATATTGGTAATATTTAAGTAGAATTGTTTTGGTGAAATTATTGGTCTTCTATTCCATGGTATTCCATAGTGACCCTTTGGACTTCAATAAGAATTCTTCTGGTTTTCTATAGGAACTTCTGTTTAAAATTATTCAAGATCTTCTATGTTTGTATGCCCTTTGTGCATATGTTTGTAACAGGCAAAAGGAAACGAGATAGACACATGGTTCCTTTTGAGAATATGCATAGAATCACTTTCTGAGACGATTTATGCCTGTCCGTCCGTCTGTTGATGTTAAATTATGAACAAAGTACAGGTCGCACATATCATTCGATTTGGATGAAATTTGGCCCAAGGGCGAAATTAAAATTGGGAAAAATCGGATCAGATTTAGATATATATATATATATATATATATATATGTGTACCAAAGACCCTATACATCTTTCGATTTGCACGAAATTTTGCACAGCGTACTGAATTAGGTCTAGAAAGGTTCGCCAAAGTCCCTATATATCTTTCGATTTACTCGAAATTTCGCACAGCGCATTGAATTAGTTTTAGAATGACGTATGTCAAGTTTAGTGACAATCGGTTCAGATTTACATATAGCTCCTATGTATATTTTCGTCCCATTTTAAGTAAATGGTGCATTAAAGACTAGCTGGGCCGATTGACAGAAGGTACTGAAATAAATATAAATTAATCTCGGGATTGATGTTAGTTGGTTTACATATAAATAAAGATCACATTTTTAAGTTAGATCAATTTCGTGTCAATTCCTTCCTGTATGTCAATGTTCCTTACTTTGGTATGCTGTGCGAAATTTCACATCAATCAGAAAAATTGTGGGGTGTTTGAGTAAAATCGGGCAAACAACATATATAATCTGAACCGATTATCACCAATTTCAATGGGGGTCGCCCTTGAATGAGATGTGCCAAATTTCATTTCATTTGTTTCTTAAATGTGACTGGCAAATACACGGACGGAAAGACAAATTGTGGTAGAGGGCATAAAATGGAAGAACATACCTATATCATTTATTGGTATATTGTATAACATAGTAATATACGTTTGGGTACATTATTCCTTATATTCTGTAGGGAAGTTATAAAAATTCGAATTTGAAAAAAAGTCTACTCACATGAAATTCAGTCATTTTTGAAACACTCCTCCATATAGTACGGCATTAAAAAGTTACAAAATATGAACGGTGTTCCGGGAACACTGCAAGAGAGCAAACACAAAATTAAAAATTCGTTTTTTTAAATTAGAATAATTACTTATTTACAATGACTGCTGCTTTCGGGCTTCCAAAACATTATTTGACGGTCTTTAGGTATCTCTAGAATAAGTTAATATTTATAAACTTTTATTACAAAATTAAATTCTCACCTAAATATTGTTGTAAGCCAGGTAAAAGATATTTTAATAAAATTCTTTTGCACCAGCTAGGTCTTATATAACGCTAGAATTAAAAAAATATATATTTGAATTAAATATATTAAATTGTTAATACCAATTAAATACAATGCACTTGAAATTACTACCGCACACTATTTTGAGATTATTAAACAAATTCTATTTTCTAAAATACTGTAAAAATACTCACTCAATAATGCTAACCCCCCGTTTTGTATACAATTTATTTCCCACTAATAACAAAGTAATCACCCTACACCCATTAATAAATTGATGTCATTTTATTAATTTTTTTTTTAGTTATTTAAATATAAAAATAAATAAAATATTTTTTTTTATTTTCACATTAATTTTGCGCCACCACCATTTATTTACACGTCGTCATGCAATTTGCTGCAAATCCCCAAAATAAATTCCGAATCCATGCACTCTGTAGTACGCAATGTTGTCATCTTAGAGAATGGCAACACCACACAACAGCTATTGCAACAAAAACATCAAAAAGAACAACAACAAAAGGCCACCTCCACAACGACAACAACAACAGTAACTGAAATTCACACCGTAAATGGTACAGATAAATTGGCAGGAGTTTTAACAAATGGCGATACCGGATTGGCCAAAAACAGCAACACCACCATGACCACTGTTAAGAAACAAACTTTGTTAAATGGCAATGTCGTTAATGACACCACCGCAACCACCAAATCAGTATCGCCCACAAATCAATTGGCTAATTTGAAATTAAATGATGCTTTGACCACTGGCACAAATACGCAAATCACACAAAAATTGGAAAAAATCAATGGTTTGAATGGTGAAAGTGGCCATGTGGTGACCACCACTGTACACACCACCAGTAATGGTTACAAAGAGGAAGGTAATAAGAAAATTCAGGCCAAGGGAAGTGCTGATATAAAACAATCGAATGCTGCTAGTGGTTCGTGTAATACCGTCGTGTCGGCTGATGGTACGACCACAACAACGGTAAAGTCGGCCAAGAGTTCCAGTGTTAAATATGCCGTTGAAGCCAGTTCCATACAAGAAGAAATTATCAGGTAACCGAAAAAGAAAAAAAAATAAATTAAAAACCAAGCTTTATTAACCCCTAAACTCTCGAACCCTTATTCTAGGGGATATTTCGAAAATGATATAGGTTGAGCTACATCACTAACCACCACCTCCCCCGACCTAACAAATCCCACCAAAACCAAAAAAATCAAATAAAACATTCATTCATTGCCTAACATGAATTTTTCATAAATGTTGGAAAATTTTCAATTCTTAGGTTATTTAGGAATGAATATTTTTTATTAATACATGTTGTTGTTGTTTTTCCCCATATCTGCCTATAGCTCCTAATGTCTATAGAATTCCCACAGTATTGGGTATCAGCAAAGAGGGTAACATACGCTCAGCACCGGCCTTCTCCATGGCTGGCCGTGAAAAACCTCGACAACTGCCAACTTTACTATTTCCCGGTCCAGGATATTATGATTCCGAGTATACAGCCATAAAACGTAGATCACCAATGTATTCGATGGGTGGTAAACACAAGCTACCCACTGATGATAATATGAAACCTGGACCAGGTGCTCATTGCCCGGAGAAGGTAAGTGTAGACCTAATTAAAAAATTAATCTTTAAAAAATCCCCAACTTGTTTGGATTTTGAAAAATTAATCTTTAAAAAATCCCACCTTGTTTGGCCTTTGAAAAATTAATCTTTAAAAAATCCCCACCTTGTTTGGCCTTTGAAAAATTAATCTTTAAAAAATCCCCACCTTGTTTGGCCTTTGAAAAATTAATCTTTAAAAAATCCCCACCGTGTTTGGCTTTTGAAAAATTAATCTTTAAAAAATCCCCAGCTTGTTTGGCCTTTAAAAAATTCTACTTTAAAAAATCCCCACCTTGTTGGCCTTTAAAAAATTCTACTTTAAAAAATCCCCACCTTGTTTGGCCTTTGAAAAATTAATCTTTAAAAAATCCCCACCTTGTTGGCCTTTGAAAAATTCTACTTTAAAAAATCCTCGCCTTGTTTGGCCTTTGAAAAATTCTACTTTAAAAAATCCACGCCTTGTTTGGCCTTTGAAAAATTCTACTTTAAAAAATCCACGCCTTGTTTGGCCTTTGAAAAATTCTACTTTAAAACTCCACGCCTTGTTTGAGGTTTGAAAAATGCTACTTTAAATAATCCACACCTTGTTTGGGGTTTGAAAAATTCTACTTTAAAAAAATCCACGCCTTGTTTGGGGTTTGAAAAATTCTACTTTAAAAAATCCACACCTTGTTTGGGGTTTGAAAAATGAATCTTTAAAAAAATCCACGCCTTGTTTGGGGTTTGAAAAATTCTACTTTAAAAAATCCACGCCTTGTTTGGGGTTTGAAAAATGAATCTTCAAAAAAATCCACGCCTTGTTGGCCTTTGAAAAATTCTACTTTAAAAAATCCCCACCTTGTTTGGCCTTTAAAAAATTCTACTTTAAAAAATCCACGCCTTGTTTGGCCTTTGAAAAATTCTACTTTAAAAAATCCACGCCTTGTTTGGCCTTTAAAAGATTCTACTTTAAAAAATCCACGCCTTGTTTGGGGTTTGAAAAATTCTACTTTAAAAAATCCACGCCTTGTTTGGCCTTTGAAAAATTCTACTTTAAAAAATCCACGCCTTGTTTGGCCTTTGAAAAATTCTACTTTAAAAAATCCACGCCTTGTTTGGCCTTTGAAAAATTCTACTTTAAAAAATCCACGCCTTGTTTGGCCTTTGAAAAATTCTACTTTAAAAAATCCACGCCTTGTTTGGCCTTTGAAAAATTCTACTTTAAAAAATCCACGCCTTGTTTGGCCTTTGAAAAATTCTACTTTAAAAAATCAACGCCTCGTTTGGCCTTTGAAAAATTCTACTTTAAAAAATCCACGCCTTGTTTGGCCTTTGAAAAATTCTACTTTAAAAAATCCCCGCCTTGTTTGGCCTTTGAAAAATTCTACTTTAAAAAATCCCCGCCTTGTTTGGCCTTTGAAAAATTCTACTTTAAAAAATCCACGCCTTGTTTGCGGTTTGAAAAATTCTACTTTAAATAATCCACGCCTTGTTTGCGGTTTGAAAAATCCACGCCTTGTTTGGGGTTTTGAAAAATTCTACATTAAAAATCCACGCCTTGAAAAATCCACCCCATGAAAAAATATTCCTTTAAAATTTAATTTTTTTTCTTTTTTATTTCTTTCCAGATAAATCTCTCCAATGTTCCAGCCTATAGTTTTGGCATAAAACACTCTCCCTATTTGGGCTATATTCGAGAACATCATGATTATGGTTTTTCTGGAATTTGTTAAACAATCTCTTCCCATGGAATTTACACCGAACTTATTTTCGCTTAAATGATCCCCTTTTAATTTGCTGATGCCTTGTATTGTATTTTATTTTTTTAACTTATTCGTCCTAAATTATAATTATTTTTAATAAATATTTTTGAAACGTGATTTTTATTTTTTGTTAATCTTTTTAAACCAAAAACAAAAAAAAAATAAACTTTGTCTCGAATACTAATATTTTAATAAATAACTGTGTTATTTTCTAATTTTTGTTTTGTTTAATGCAACGACTTTTATTTAATAATACGTTTTTTTCTATTTTTTATATATTAACACAATTTTTATAAACATAAAAGCAATGTACATTATGTATAATATACTAAAACACACAATTGTGTCTTCTAACTAAAAGTAATAATAAAAACCATTTGTGGCTATTTTTAAAATTAAGAACAACAAAAATGAAAGAAATATTAACGAAGAAAAAAACTCAAATATTGTAATAAAAGTTAACATTTTCAATTAAACAAATTAATAAAAAAAAAACTTAAAAATAATTGATGTTTTCATTTATAAAGGGTAAGGTTAGGAAATTAATAGTACCTATATACATACATATGAGTATTTAAATGGTGTATAAAAATCCGAATTTAATTTCTAGGTGGTAAAAAGGTCACGCTATGTTGGCCCTAAGAAAAAATATATATTCTTAATTCTTAACAAAATCCAAGCATAGTTGAGCCTTACAAAAATTTACTTGAAAAAAATCTCTAGTAAGGTAGCCCTTGGAAAAATTTTGTTTGCAAAATCGTCGATTAGTTTAGTCTCAAACATTTTTATTTTAAAAATCCTGATTATGTTGACCTTTTGAATTTTTTTATTCAATGCTTAATTTAACCTGGTGAAAATATTCTTAAAAAAATCCTCGTTTAGATTGGTCTTAGAAAAAATAATCTTAAAAAATCAACACTTCTATAAGACTTCAGAAAAAATGTATTCATTAAAAATGTGACGTCAGTGTTAACTATGCCGTTGAAGCCAGTTCCATACAAGAAGAAATTATCAGGTAACCAAAAATAAGAAAAATCCACACTTATCCACGATTCCTGACACTTCTAGTCCTCAACATATACCATTCTTCGGTCTTTTCAGTGTTTGTTTTGCAAGTTTTTTTTTCGAAAAATCTCAAAAATGGTTTCACAAGCCAATATATATTTCAAATATAAAAAATATTGCAATACAAATCATTACATTTTGTCCTTATTTATACGTATGTGCAAATATTTTATTTAAAAAAAAATCATGAATTGCTTTGGAAAAGACAAATTAAAAAAATTACTTCAAATTTCCAATGAACTTCGTAACATATTTGAATTTTTCCCCAATTCATAGGATCCATTCAGGTTTTGAAGGTATCATTTTAGGTTCAGGTATTAAATATATTTTCTTTTCACCCAAATGTGGAGTATGACGTATTGAAAATGAAGGAGCCGGTACTGATTTGTGTTTTATATACTGGAATAAATTTGAATTATGATTAATTATAAGATACTAGATATAAACTAGACACAGTTCAGGAGACTATGTCATTTTAAATTGTCTGTTAATAGGTTCTGAGAAACTCCCATACCATATTCCAGACAAAAAACTTAGTGGATTATTGGGACCTGTAAAATGTCCTTATATTGATGGGTGGATTTTTGCGCCCTGTTAAAATAATATACTGAACATTATTTGGTGAAACGATTTGTATTCACCAGGCAAAATCAAATTTAAAAATTTCTCGACACCTACTTTATATTGTTGATGTGATAAATTATGGACCAACATCGAAAATAGGATATGCTAAAACCTGGATTATATTAAAATATATTTTTTGGTAAAATATTTAGATGTGCCAAGTTTGGATCAAATCCGACCATTCCATTCGTTTGATATTTGATCAACAAATTTTCAAATTGTTGACCCTCTGTTTGGGAGATACTAGAAAAAGTGGGCCGCTAAGTCCCATCTTCCATCATTATAAAGGCATAAGGTTGTGCAAAGTTTCTTTTGAATCTTTTTGCATGATATTATTAAATTCATTTTCACCATTTTGTGTTGGGAGGGGCCAGAAGGATGATGAGATGGATCGCAGGTTGAAGCTACAGTTCAACCACCTCATAGGTATTACATCGGCATAACCCGTAAGAAAGCTGACATTAAGAGGCTTGAGGAATCTGGGCCCAAAACTGTAATGTCCAATGCTTAACAACAAGAGACCTCACCGCTCCAGCAGTCGCGCCTCCTTTATCCCAACCTATCTACAGAATCAAACCCAATAGATGGTCCTATATTATTTATTTATTTAAACTCTTACATGTACACAAAGCCTTATTTGGCCAATTATTATGAATACATTATGCAAAATCGTTGATATATGGCAGCAATTTTAAACAATGATTCGAGTTGGCATTCACTGGTCGAGAAAGACACGGTTCGTTTCGGATCGTAAACACAATTTAACACCTATCTCAACTATCCGATCATCATCAGAGGTACCTGAGGCTGAAAAGTTCATTGCTAACAAGTCGGTTATTCGGATATGGTGAAATAGGACTAAAATATATAGGAAATCTTAACCGATTTTCACCAATCGGTCCTTGAACAATTAAATGAGCTCCGCTAAATTTCATATTATATCGGATAATACCATGCATAAATCGACTCATAAGTTGACTCTATGCCTATCCTCAAAAATAACTATTGGTCTATATGGTTTCTAATGACAAGTCAAGACGAGGTTGTATTTTTGCATGCCCTCCAAAATGTAATCTCAAGTGGTATTCTTTTCTCAAAGATTCTGAGAAAAGAATATCAAAATACCAAATTAAGGACAAATCCTAAATGCCAAAATACTAACAATATTGTATGAAAATGCGCATACACCTTCAAAAGGTCTAACATCGGTTTGTAGATGCTACTTTAAAATGTAGACTTAAATTGTATTTTTTGCGAATTGTCATTGTTGGCTACGATTAATCTTGGAGTTACATTTTGTATTAGATTTTAACAAACAAATGTGAAAGGGATACATCGTCATAGAATGATATGATAATTATATAGATGTGTCCTACTTCATAAAGATCAATACGTTTTTTTTTAATATAAGGGTATTTAATATTCAGAAAGAAGACTGATCAGTCTTTATCGTAAAATATCCGTCATTGAAAAGGCGGATGTTCGCATACATGTTCAAAATGGAGGAATTAATTTCTTCTTTTAATAAATCAGAAATATATTATATTCTGAAGAATGTCCATATGTTGATGTCGAGATATATGATCTATTATAGAAAATCACACCAACTCCCCTTATTCTAAATTAAATAATTTCAACTTACCCGTTCCGGACAATAGGCACCTGGACCGGGTTTCAAATGTTCGTCACTAATAACCTTGTGCCTTGTGTGCATGCTATATTTTGGTGGTGATTTACGAAAATGTTTACTATTATCTTCATATTGGCCAGGGCCGGGTAAAATAAAAGCAGGGATTTGTCTGGGTTTGTCGCGGCCAATTAACGAGTAGGCTGGTGCAGCTTTTATTTGGCTTTCTTTTGCTGTGCCCAGGGTGGTGGGTAAGTTATAAACATTAGGAGCTGAAAACGCAACAAACAATATGCATATTTTAATGCAATTAAAAATATAAAATCTCAGTACGTACCTGGAGTTGGCAAAGATTTTATAGCAATCGGTCTCTTTCCAAATGAAAATGCTGGTGTACTTTTTGTGGTTGCCAATATAGCCGTTTGTATATTATAACGTCCCGGTTCGGGTGGTGACCATTTCTTTAAATCATTAGGACGAAATTTCAATGAAAATGCCGGTGGTCTGTGTACACCTTTGTTGTAAATCCCGGCAACATTGTATTTTGCAGGACCATCTTCAATGTGCGAATGACGTCGTGTTGTTTTACGACTTATGGAATAGGCTGGTGCCGACTTCTTTTTAGAATCGATGATATTGGGGCCCAATAGGGGTGGTACAAGTTTATATGATGGTTTTCCCAGCGATTGATGGCCGGCATTTTTACCTTTACGTTGCGTCGTAGGCTGCCAAGGTTTTTGTTCAATATTTGTTCCCGCATTCAGAAGACGTTTCTTTGGCTCTTCTTTTTGTTGGCAAGAACTTTTGAAACGCGCTTGCAAACGTTTGGATGTTTTGTAAACCTGGAGAAACATAGACAATTAAAGCGGAATTATATTTATTTGGTGATTATATAACAAATTTCTTACCATATTTTATTTTCTAAAATTCTATTTCCAAATTTTTTTTAACCAACTTTTTTTTTTTTTTTTTTTTTTTTTTTTTATTATTATTTTGGTTGGCCCACTTTCTATAGGGATAGAAGGTTTAGTGCCATGTATCCGTATGTAGCTTTGCTACGAATTTGACTTTATCCATAGATGGTGGTTTGTGTTTTGCAGGTTGACTTCGATCTTCTTTAAGAATTTGACCACAATGTTCAGACTTTCTAAGCCTTGTGTATCAGTGAACTCTTCTACTGTGAAGGAGTCACATAGTAGCGAAAAGCATCTTCTTTTGCTATTAAATTTACGAAAATTAAAAATTTCATGCGCAGCTGTTTGGATTTTGTTGAACGACTCGTAATTTATAGGTTATCCGTATTTAAAAACACACGTGTTAGTTAAGCGAACGCTTAACAACCGCCATTTTGTAAAAATCTATTTTTAAGCCCGTGGGCGTGTAGTACTCATTTAAAATTTTTTTACGTCTTTCTTGTGAGCCGTCCGAGGACGAACTGTTTTAACCAACTTGACGTATCGTGCACAGCTACCCTAAAAATAACGGAAATATTCCATATGAATACTCAAACGTAAGTGTGACGTAAAGTATGTAGTCACAATCGGAGATGCCAACACACAAAACATAAAAAAAATCACCAAATGATATTGGATACACAATAATAATATTTGAGGTTCCAAGGAGAGGGAGGTAATACGAGTATATAGTGGAAAAATATTCAAAGGTAGGAAGATTTGTTACCCAATAACAAATTACTCCCTCTGAAAAGTGAGAAAAAGAACGGCTGGGTATACAAAAAACCGGAGAAGTGTAGAGAGGCCAATTGAAATTACTAGGGGAGAAGATTACTACACATTCAGATTGAAGTATAAGAAATCGGAAGCGGTAAATTAGTATAGACCAAAGCTCTATAACATTCACCCTAAAACATAAAAAAACTAGCTACTACTTTGATAATAAGGACCCTGAATGTATAACCTCAAAATCGATCTATCTTGCTGACAATCTCAATGCGTACATCTACAACAATGATTGCAATCGGTAGAATAGAAGCAACCACCACCAGAACCAGAATAGACACTTGACCTATCGAAGGTCTATGATACCGTCAACCAAGCGAAGCTGTTCGAAAATATAGTAAAGACAAATCTTCGACCGTGTTTGAAACGTTAGATAATCAACTATATGTGTGGACGCCAGTCGTATGTGGAATTCAGAAACAGGAAGTCTAAACCCTGTAGAGTGAAACAGGGAGTTCCCCAAGGAGGAGTGATATCTCCGGAACTATTCAACCTCTACATTTCTGATATTCCACAACCACCGTACGGCATAGAGATCGTAATGTATGCTGATGATTGTACGATCATGGATCGGGTCCCATTATTGATGACATATGTGAGAGGTTAAATTTCTACATAGCCGATCTGGTTAAAATATTCCATCTGAAAATATCCGCCACAAAATCAACAGCCACACTGTTCACCACATGGACGGTTGAAATGAAGCTTCCACTGAACATAATGGTCGATGGAGAACTGATTTCGACCACCAACAACCCCAAGATACTGGGAGTAACGTTCGACAGCCTTCGTCACTCTTTATGCGATAAGTTTAGAAGTAGGAACAAGGTCCTCAAGTCGCTTACCGGCAGCACTTGGGGCGCTGACAAAGAAACCTTGTTGACCTCTTACAAATCAATAGGCCGGTCAGTGGTAAGCTATGCGGTGCCAGTGTGGTTCGCGAATGTAAGTGATACGCAGTGGGAGAATATCAAAACCTGCCAGAATGCTGCTCTGAGAAGTGCAACAGGGCGTCTCCTCATGACTCCAGTGGAACATCTTCATGAGGAGATGAAGATCTTACCCGTCCATCGACACAATTACACGTTGTCGATGCAGTACTTGCTTGGATTCTATCGTCGGGAACACCCCTGGTATAGTCTTATGGACAGGACTCCCCCCCAGACACGTCAAGAAAATCTTCATGATCTAGAGAGAGAGAGAGGTCGAAAGGTATAAGCGTGAACCCCTAGATCAAGGAGACTATGGACGCAACCCGTTCAAGTTGCAACATTCTTGAATTTGGAGGTAGAGGAAGCAGAACCAGTCATTGAATGACCCACCGCATGTATTCTGTTGCTACAACAACAACAAGAATCTATGGAGGATCCAACCGTTAAAAATCCGAATTTAATGAGGTGGAAAACTGCTGGTAAAGTGAGGATGGAGAGGAGGTGGAAACGATCGGGCATCTAGCCATCCAAAGACCCATGCAGTAGGCACCTAATGTTTAGTGGATATGAAATAAAATCTTTAACATTTTTCCGATATAGGACAAAACATCATTTATAGCTCTGCCAAAAACTTGTCACGGTTGAGCTACCAGCCCTAACCTTTCTATTCTCATTGACACTTTTTATTTTCTTAATTCCTTTCTTTTATGATCAAATTCTTTTCCATCGCCCTAAACGGCGACAAAGCCTTGGTACTCACCCGAACTTTAGCGTTACCTTTAGTAATATCTGAAAGAATAAAAATGATATTCTACGAGTCTGGAATATTGTTTTTTTTTAATATATTTGAATCTGGACTTTAATCATTTCAATAAACATTTATGGTTACATCTTCTATTTATTTATTTTATACTCCTATTTTTATTATTATTTAGGTATTAAATTACATTATTATTTACTTATTTCAATAATCATATCTCCAAAATCTTCAGATGTGAATTTTTGAATATGATCATTAAAGTTTCACGATTTTTTACGCATCAGAGAGATAAACGATTGTTTGGTGTACTCAACAACGCTGAGACGCCCAATGCAAACCGTTACTATTGTGTTTTGCCTCTTAGCCGTTTAGTAACTGGAAAAAGCTGCCGCCGTCAACAGAACCGTTCCCACTCTGTATTCTGCTTTACATCCATCTGTTGTTGGCCGGACAACACGTTGCACTTTTATTACTAAGATTTTTTGGTTTTATTTAGTGTAATTAATAAAAAAATATTATAAACTACGACAACAACCGTTAATAACAATATTCGGTTATAAAAATGGTGAGTAACAACACATTCCACCGGAGAAAGTCGTTGAGGGATTGAGTCATAGAGCAACGTGCTAAATTGAGCTTTAGCTTTGTACCCGGCTCATGATGGTCCCATTTCTACGAATCTGATGCAATAAATTCTAAATTTATGAATAATAATTTGAATCGATTTCTCCCCTCTAGGCTGCTGTCGAACGTAAAGGTACCTTTAAGGTAGAATATTTACAAAAAATCGAAGAGGAAGTGCAACAACGATGGGAAAAGGAACATTTGCATGAAACAGATGCTCCCTTGGAGCCAAGGAAATCGTTGGATGAAAAGTTTATGGTCACCTTTCCCTTCCCCTATATGAATGGACGTTTGCATTTGGGTCACACCTTTTCGCTGTCCAAAGCTGAGTATGCCATACGTTATCATCGCCTGAAGGGTAAACGTGTACTCTGGCCATTTGGTTTCCATTGTACCGGTATGCCGATCAAGGCATGTGCCGATAAATTGAAACGGGAAATGGAAGATTTTGGTTATCCACCACAATTTCCTGCCGTCAAGGAGGAAGCGGCAGTTGTGGAAGTTCAAGCTGAGGTGCCTAAGGATAAATCGAAGGGTAAGAAGAGTAAGGCTGTGGCCAAAACCGGTTCGGCCAAATATCAATGGCAAATTATGCAAAGTTTGGGTCTAAAGGATGAGGAGATTAAGGAGTTTGCTCATGCCGAACATTGGCTGAACTATTTCCCTCCATTGGCTGTGAAGGATTTGAAGAGGATTGGTGTGCATGTAAGAAAAAATATTCACTTCTTTGTATTAGTAATATTAATAATATCCTTTGCTTACTCTTCTCCAGGTGGATTGGCGCCGCACCTTCATTACCACAGATGTAAATCCATTCTTCGATTCCTTTGTTCGTTGGCAATTTGTCCATTTAAAAAATCGTGGTAAGGTTATGTATGGCAAACGTTATACAATTTACTCACCTAAGGATGGACAACCCTGTATGGATCATGATCGTTCGACGGGTGAAGGTGTGGGTCCCCAGGAATATACCTTAATTAAAATGAAGGTATTGGAAAACAAAGGAAAATTGAGGTAATGATTTTTTCACATTTTCCCCTATTGAAACCCACCAGCAAAAGACAAATTTATTTTATAGTTCTATTAAGGCTCCCGTTTATTTGGTGGCTGCCACTTTGAGGCCTGAAACCATGTATGGTCAAACCAATTGCTGGCTGCATCCCGATATCAAATACATTGCCTGGAAGACAACACGCAATGATGAAGTTTGGGTAAGCACCCGCCGTGCTGCCCGCAACATGTCCTACCAAGGCTTTACCGCTGTTGAGGGTCAAGTAGAAGAGCTTCTTGAATTGACAGGTCAAGATTTGCTAGGCACTCCTCTCTCTTCCCCCTTGACCAGTCACAAAGTTATTTACACGTTACCCATGTTGTCGATCAAGGAAGATAAGGGTACCGGTGTTGTTACCTCTGTCCCCTCCGACTCTCCCGATGATTATGCCGCCTTGCTGGATTTACAAAAGAAGGAGGCATTCCGTCAAAAATATGGTCTTACCGATGAAATGGTTGTACCCTATGAACCCATCCCAATCATTGAGGTCCCCACTTTGGGTAACTTGTGTGCCAAATTTGCCTACGAGAAATTTAAGATTCAGTCTCAAAATGACAAGGATAAATTGGTGGAAGCCAAGGAATTGTGTTACCTTAAAGGTTTCTATGATGGCGTAATGTTGGTGGGCGATTTCAAGGGCAAAAAGGTACAGGATGTGAAAAAGGATTTGCAAAAGCAATTGGTCAACGCCAAAGAGGCTGATATCTACTATGAACCGGAGAAGACCATTATTTCACGTTCGGGTGATCAATGTGTTGTCGCCCTCTGCAATCAATGGTATTTGAATTATGGCGAAACCGAGTGGCAAGGACAAGCTAAGAAAATTTTGTCACAAATGGAAACATTCCACGAAGAGGCTAGAAATAATTTCGAACACTGCCTTGGATGGTTGCATGAATATGCTTGCTCGCGTACTTATGGTTTGGGTACCAAATTGCCTTGGGATGAACAGTGGTTGATTGAATCTTTGTCCGACTCCACCATCTACATGGCCTTCTACACCGTGGTTCATCTATTGCAAGGTGGTTCTTTCCGTGGTGAAAAACCCAGCCCCTTGGGCATTATGGCCGAGGAGATGACCTCCGCTGTGTGGGATTACATTTTCTTTAAGGAAACTCCCTATCCCCACAACTGTGGCATTCAAAAGGAAAAACTGGACATTTTGAGACGTGAATTTGAATACTGGTACCCCATGGATTTGAGAGTATCAGGCAAGGATTTGATACAAAACCATTTGACTTTTATGCTCTACAATCATGCCGCCATGTGGCCTAAGGATGAAACCAAATGGCCCAAAGGTGTGCGTGTCAATGGTCATTTACTTTTGAATTCCGCAAAAATGTCCAAGTCCGATGGTAACTTTTTGACTCTACACGAAGCTGTGGACAAGTTTTCTGCTGATGGCATGCGTCTGTGTTTGGCTGATGCTGGTGACAGTGTGGAAGATGCCAACTTTGTTGAAGCCACCGCTGATGCTGGTATTTTGCGTCTCTACACTTTCATTGAATGGGTTAAGGAGATGATTGCTGCCCGCCCTGCCATGCGTAAAGATGCGCACCACACCTTCAACGACAAGGTGTTCATTAGTGAAATGAACTTGAAGACAAAACAGACGGATGAATTCTATAAGAAAATGTTATTCAAGGAAGCCCTGCGTTCCGGGTTCTATGAATTGCAATTGACCCGTGACAAGTATCGTGAATTGTGTGGTGCCCAAGGAATGCATGCCGATTTGGTCTTTGAATTCATTCGCCGTCAAGCTTTGCTTATGGCACCCATCTGTCCTCATGTTGCTGAACATGTTTGGGGTCTATTGGGTAATAAGCAATCCATACTCCTAGCCAGCTGGCCTGAAGTTGGTCCCATCAATGAAACGGACATTATGTGTTCTGAATATCTGATGGAAGCAGCCCATGCATTCCGTTTGAATTTGAAAAATTTGCTGCAAGTCAAGGGCAAGGGTGGCAAAGAAAAGGCCGTTGATCCAACATCAGCTAAACCCAATCGTGCTGTTGCCTGGGTTGCCAAAACCTATCCACCATGGCAATCGTGTGTATTGAATACTATGCGTGAATTGTATACTGCCAACAACAACTGCCTGCCGGATAACAAACTGATTTCCACTACCCTAGGACAAAAGGAAATCCTTAAGAAATATATGAAACGTGTTATGCCATTCGCCCAGATGATCCGCGAAAAGGTTGAAAGTGGTAAAGGTTTGGCTGCCATGGCAGTGTCCTTGGAATTCGATGAACGACAGGTGCTTCTAGACAATTTAGATTATTTGAAGAATACCTTAGATATTGAGGCTTTGGAAATTAAATATACCGATGATCCTGCCGCTCCTGAAAAGACACGCGAGGAAGTAAGGCCTGGAAATCCGTTTATAACATTTACCGTGGCGCCACATGTACCGGTGGTGTTTACCAATCCCGTTGAAAGGTCAGGGTTGTTCCAAGTAAATGCCGTGGTCTCAGAGGGTGAAACGACAAAGACCTTAAAAGAAAAACTGGCTAAGATTTTGGGCTTTAAGGGTAAGTCAAGCATTTTTTCTTTTCATTTTTTAAATTTTAATTGTATTTCATTTCCAATTTAGCTGATTTATCAACCTTGAAAATCTGGCGTTATGATGACCCTGTTATGGGCCATCGTAAAATGCCCGAATTCCAGGATTACAAAACTGGCAAATCTCTATTGACTGAAGGCTCTCTGGTGGTCGATGTTGAGAAACAAAGTATTACTTTGATTGAAGAGGGAAGTGGTGCTTCCATACCTGTAGGCCGCCACTTTATTTATGTTGTAGAGTAAAATATGGCGTTTTTTACGGTACCCTTTATTTTAAACATTACTTACAAATTATTTTCTTTTTATTTATATGAAGAATAAAATCAGGAACTGTATGCAAAGCATAATTGGTTAACGAAATGAAAAAATAATTAAAGAAACAACGAACGAATGTTTTTTATTCAATCATTCAGAGGTCAACGTGGGAACATAGCTTCGGGAAGCCAAGAGAAAAATATTCTTTTAAAAATCTACGCCTTGATAGCCTTGGGAAGTCATGAGAAAAATATTCTTTTAAAAATCTACGCCTTGATAGCCTTGGGAAGTCATGAGAAAAATATTCTTTTAAAAATCTACGCCTTGATAGCCTTGGGAAGTCATGAGAAAAATATTCTTTTAAAAATCTACGCCTTGATAGCCTTGGGAAGTCATTAGAAAAATATTCTTTTAAAAATCTACGCCTTGGGAAGCCTTGAGGAAAATATTCTTTTAAAAATCTACGCCTTGGGAAGCCTTGAGGAAAATATTCTTTTAAAAATCTACGCCTTGGGAAGCCTTGAGGAAAATATTCTTTTAAAAATCTACGCCTTGGGAAGCCATGAGAAAAATATTCTTTTAAAAATCTACGCCTTGGGAAGCCATGAGAACCTTTAATTGAAAGAAATTACCGGTTATAGTTCTCATGGTGTTTGATAGTTTCCCACTAAACTTGACACAATTATCGAGCGGTTAGATAATTATTGTGTTAAGTACCGTTAGGGTCTATTGGTGCAACAATCGCATTTGCTAAACATACAACAAAAATTTAAAGTAAATAAATGCGGGTGGTGCCAAGCGGAACTGCAATGAAAGTCGGGTATTTTTTATCTGTATGAGGTTAGAGCTGCAATGAAACATGAATTCGATTAAATTGAATCATTTGTATAAATTCCATTGCGGATTTGGGTTAAAACAACAGTACCAATTCACCACATTCGAAGAAAAGAACTAACTAAAGAAATAATTTCCACAATGAACATGTTAATGGTAACATTATCGGTATTATCCCTAATGGGTGTCCGGGGTAGAGTTTTGGAGCAAAAGGATATTGAAGGTATACCACGTTTGGATGGTCGCATTGTTGGTGGTCATCGCATTAATATCAAAGAGGCACCTCATCAAGTATCACTGCAAACATCTTCGCACTTTTGTGGTGGTTCCATTATCTCGAAGCAGTGGATTTTGACCGCGGCCCACTGTACTTAGTAAGTTTGGAAGATATAAAAAAAAAAACAAAATAAATATTTAATTTATATTGCAGTGGTAAAACTGCTGATCGTCTCAAGGTACGCTTGGGTACCTCCGAATATGCACGAGGCGGAGAACTCATAGATGTTGCAGAAATTGTTCAACATGAAAAATTCAATACCTCCAATGTGGACTATGATTATTCGCTGTTGAAATTATCGCGTGAAATTGAATTCGATGAAACGAAACAAGCCGCCAAGCTACCAGAAACCAAAGAAGATGTCAAGGAAGGTGATAATTGTAAGGTTACCGGATGGGGTAGCACCAAAAATATATTCGAACGTCGTAATTGGTTGCGACAAACTGAAGTTCCCATTTTCAATCAAGAAGAATGTTCGGAAAAATATCAGAGATTTGGTGGTGTTACGGAACGTATGATTTGTGCCGGCTATACTGAAGGTGGTAAGGATGCCTGCCAGGGTGATTCAGGTGGTCCATTGGTAACGGAAGATGGTGTTTTGGTTGGTGTGGTGTCATGGGGTTATGGTTGCGCTCGTCCCCAATATCCTGGTATTTATTCGAGAGTGTCTTATGTTCGTGATTGGATTCGCACCAACAGTGGTGTTTAAAGCAGATGTTATTTTGGAAAGTAAAAGAATTGAATGGATAAATAAAATTACTTTAAATTTCAACTAGATTAAAAAAATATATTTTTCTCAAGGCTCAACAAGGCTTCCCAAGGCGTAGATTTTTAAAAGAATATTTTTCTCAAGGCTTCAACAACAAGGCTTCCAAGGCGTAGATTTTTAAAAGAATATTTTTCTCAAGGCTTCAACAAGGCTTCCAAGGCGTAGATTTTTAAAGAATAATTTTCTCAAGGCCCAACAAGGCGTAGATTTTTAAAGAATATTTTTCTCAAGGCTCAACAAGGCGAAGATTTTTAAAAGAATATTTTTCTCAAGGCTCAACAAGGCGTATATTTTTAAAAGAATATTTTTCTCAAGGCTCAACAAGGCGTAGATTTTCAAAAGAATATTTTTCTCAAGGCTCAACAAGGCGTAGATTTTTAGAAGAATATTTTTCTCAAGGCTCAACAAGGCGTAGATTTTTAAGATAATATTTTTCTCAAGGCTCAACAAGGCGTAGATTTTTTAAAGAATATTTGTCTCAAGGCTCAACAAGGCGTAGATTTTCAAAAGAATATTTTTCTCAAGGCTCAACAAGGCGTAGATTTTTAAAAGAATATTTTTCTCAAGGCTCAACAAGGCGTAGATTTTTAAAAGAATATTTTTCTCAAGGCTCAACAAGGCGTAGATTTTTAAAAGAATATTTTTCTCAAGACTCAACAAGGCGTAGATTTTTAAAAGAATATTTTTCTCA